TAAATACAACTAGACTTCTGGAAGAGATTTTCAATATTTACATAGGTTCTTATATTTTGTATAGAGCAAGACTTGGGATTAACTAGTTGTTAGTTAATAGAAAAGAGAAAAGCCTAACTACATGGCCACATTTATATTACTTGTTAGCACGTCACCACTTCTTTACTGCTATGTCAAATATTTTATCCATGCAACTTTCTTTCATTATCATGGCAATCTATCAGTTATACTCCTAGATGATTATAATTTATCTTACTATATTGCGTTGACAGATAAGGATGGAAGAGACACTTACATGATAGATTTATAAGAGTTTTCAATTACACAGACGCGAAGTTGACAGCAGCACGTGCGAGCGCAGTGATAAGAACTTTTACCACCAATTCATAGAAAAAAGATGCATCCAATATCTTCTAAAGGGAAGCTTCAATCGCCACACAAATATAGCTGTTTAATGTCACTTCTCAATATATCCCTAAGTTCAGTTGGTACATCACACTTCCAAATTTATCAGGGGTCATGGTTTCTCAAGGATATAATAGTATGTTTAATTCAATTCAAGGACACTTCAATAACCTTTAGTTACTTACATGAATCTAGATAGTTTTTGCTTTTACCATCTAGGGCTGAGAGATGCATTATCTAGATAATTTAGTTACTGAAATTCTAAAGCTCCCACAATCTGGCTTCAGTTGATGATTACAGCTTTTTCTTCACAAATACTCCTCCACTCCTCTGAACCCTAGCCAGACCAATGATACTCACATTCCCAATACTAAATGAACACAAGTACTATTCCCGTGGCTCTGCTCAAGCCACTCCCTTCTTCTAGCTTCTCTTTTAAACCTTAGGAAAGTGTGTAAGGCAGCCCTGACATACTTACCTCCACCCAGCACAATACCCCCTTACCAGAAATGACACCCCACTTTATTCATTAGACAAAATATTACTAAGCAACAGCAAAATTCAATTTCCTTTGGCCTTAATAATATGAAAGATTACTGGGTACTAGATTACGGCTGTGTAGAAAACTCTGACTACAGCAAACAGTTGGTCCATAGGAGCTTAGAGAAGCCCTTTGCTGAAATACAAGTACAGAATTTAATTCAGCAAAACACTCACCACGGTCACCGAGTAGGCTCCCACTCATAAGACGCTACAGGACAGAGCAGAGCTGCTTCTTAGGGCTACCAAGACCGTGACATTCCCGGGAGCAGGCAGCTTCCACTCAAGGAAGCTGGTTGGTTTGAACTGCTGCCCTTATCATTAGCAGTCAGAGCTTAACCCACTGCACCACCAGGTATCCTTCAAATAAGGACACCTACATTTTTTTGCACACAAACAAAAAATCAAGGATAACTATGCAACCCTTTTTAATGTATTCAAATCACTGAATTGTATGGTATTAGAACTGAATTTCAATAGGTCTTTAGAAAAAACAAAGCAAAAATATAAGGAAATCAAATAAAAATGTTAAAACATGAATGCATTCTGTGTTCATATTGCGAGTCCCAAAATATTTTTCTTAAGACTACTTATTTCTTCTCCCCAGTCTCTAACCAGAGATTCTTGCCTCCTATCGGAATTACTAACCATCGTTTTGTCCATAGTCGTTTTGTGAACACCTACTCTTGTGACTGGGTTCAAGGGGTAACCACTCGGCGGCTCCCAAAAGGTGATTGGCTCCAACACACCAGCTGATCAGCAGAAGAGGCCTGGGGCTCTGCTCACATGAAGATTATAGCCTAGGATATCCCATAGGACAGCCTCTCTCCATCACCTAGGACAAACCCCAGCCAGAGAGGTAACAGCACGGTACTCCTGTTGAAGAGCCATCTATTTTAAGGTAAGCAAATCTAGAGAAGAATTTATTAAATTACCTATTTTTGTAAAGGACATCATATGACTTCAAGTGTATCTCTTTGCTTAATCTTTATAGAAAGATAAACGCAAAGTAATTCCTAAAATATATACTTCATAAAACTGCCAAATATATAATCTGCTTTTCTTTTTTACCCACGACATAGCTATAGAAATGACTAGTGTTTAGGGCGGGCAGGGGAAACTGCTAAGATAGTCATTGAAATTAGCTCAATCTGTATGCTTAGCAAAAACCCTAAGAAGCTGTACTATGTGTGAAAGCACATGCTGTCCGGATTGGAAGAAGGCTTCTTAACAACCTGCCATCTAAGGTGACAGAATCTTGCAAGGTGAAAAGCAGGACTTGACTCACTTGCTGATGAAGTTCAAAGATTACAGCCTTCATTACGGATTACAAATCAATGTTAAGAAAACCAAAATCCTCACAAAAGTTTCAACCAATTAAATCATGCTAAATGACTAAGAGATTGAAGTTGTCAAGGGTTATATTTTACTTGGATCCACAATCAACACTCATGGAAACGTCCATCAAGAACCAAAGGACATGCTGCCCTGGGAAAATCTGTTGCCCAAGGTCTCTGTAAAATCGTAAGGAGCAAAGATGTCACTTTGAGCCCTAAGACGGGCTGACCATGTTCCGTCATCTCATCTGCATGTGCAAGCTGGATAATGAATAAGGAAGACCGGAGAAGAATGGGTGTCCTAAAACTAGGCGGTTGTTGAACAATACTGCGTCTGTGATGGACTGCCAAAGAACAAGCAAGTCGGTCGGGGGGAGTACAGCTGGTACGCTGTTGAGGAGTCAGTGGAAAAACCCTGTCTGATGTGCTCTGGACATGTTATCATGATGTCCCCGGGAAAGGACATCGTGCTTGGTAAAATAGAAAGCCCCTCACTGAGCTGGATTGACACAGTGAGTACAACGTCTCAAAGATGACAATGGTGAGGAGGGTGCATGACCAGGCAGTGTTTCATTCTGTTGTCCACAGGGCACCTCTGAGTAAGAACTAACCTGATGGCTCTAACAATAACAGGAACAATAATCTTGAGAACTAGAAAATATTACACAATGTTAAATACATATAATCAAAATGTAGTACATGTATATATAAATGTTAATCATTTAAATGGTAAAAAATACTTTCTGTAGCTCTGTAATTACTTAAACCTATATATTATTTTATTTTACTTGGGCAGTCTTTTGTCAGAGTTCCTCATCCTTACTGATAATTTTCTTACTTGTTTTCGTCCATACAGAGCATTAATTAAAGTTTCATTCTTAGCAATTATCTAGACATCAAGAGAGTAGCACTGAAGATCCTTACAGCTTGTTAAGAAAATTTATTTCTCTAGTCTGTGTGTCAGAGCTCCCTTGGATTCACTTTTGCTGTGTTTCATTCATATGGCTTCATCTTATATTTAATAAAAGCTGTTCCTCATCTTGTGATAATATTTTATAATGTCAATGTAATTAGAAATATTGCAGTTTGTGACTGTGTGCATCTCTTTGTCTCATCACTAGAGGTTTACATGATCTTTGTCTAACTATATAATCACAGATAATATAGTCTCCTTTTTTCACAGAATAGAAAAATCGTATTGCTAAACTATTTAATCATAGGTTAAGTTCTTGTAAGTTCTGTTGTATACTGAGGAAAGACTATCCATACACCCTGTAAGTATATTCTAGGGAGGAGTTTTCTTCATTTCAGGAAAGCAGTTAAGATTAGCATTTTCTACTTAACAACTGAAACTAATACTTATATTCACTTTAATGTAAATAAGACAACAAACATAAAATAATCAAATAATAACCATTTTTGAAAGAACGTGCTTCTAAAGAATGATGTGATAAAAGCATTTCATTGGGTTAAAAAAACCCAGGAAAAATAAAATCACATAATATAAAACCAATAAATCTAAAGAAGAAAAGAGCCTATTAAACAAATAGGGGATGTTTTAAGTTTCCATAGGGTTTTTAGTTAAAAATACACATATTTAACAAATAAATAATATAAAATATATTCAAACAACAATATTTCAAACATTTAAAGATGCAACATGTTGACTTAATATAGTTCAGATACACAGTTGTAGATATAATGGGAAAATAATTTTAAAAATATCTAAGCTAAAAATGTGAGGAGAAAATATAATTTGTAAGAAAATGAAGCAAAGTTAACTCAAAAAGATCTGAAAGCAGTTGACTCTATTTATGAAAGTTTTCCTTAGAGAGACAAAAATCAAAGCAAGAGGCTTTATAGGCTAACCCATGTTTTCATTATGGACTGTGTGTGTGTGTGTGTGTGTATAGGAATAGACTATAATATAAACATGTTAATCATATCAAAAGAGATGAAAATTCAAGAATACCATATAACTAAAATGACACTACTAAAAACTGTCATATATAAATTATATAGCCTTATCAGCCTTTCAGAAACAGCTGCTCTGAAAGTCTATTCACAATGTATTTTTTGGATAAAAAAATATATGCCTGTTTATTGAATTCATTTTCTAGTAAAACCCAAATTATTAACTTTTTACAACTAGTTTATGTTTTAATCACCTAAGATTTGTTTCTATGCCAATATTTGTTGAAATTACCAAATTTATTACATGTGTATAGAGAAAAGCACCCTGGATTTACATAAATATTTATACGGTACATTTTCTAGTATTACAATTGTTGTTGCTAGGTATTATTGAGTCAATTCCAACTCATAAATACTAATGTAATACAGCAGAACTTCCGCTTAGAGTATTTTAGATTGTAATCTTTGTAGAGAAGGTTGTCAGAGCTTTATCCAACAGAGCTGCTGAATGGATTTGAACCATCAATCTTTTGGTCAGTAGTTGAGTACCTAACCTTTTTTGGCAACACTACACATATAAATACTATGTTAGCTACAATTTACTAACTTAGAAGACAACAAGTATTGTTAATTTAAATGTAATTTACATGGCTTACCAGTTTACGTTGTACTTTAACATATGGGACTCAAATTATATGTCAAAATTCATCCCCAATAGAGTCAAAGGTCTACTGCTCCTTTCACTCTTATAACAGGCCCTGATGTCCTAACAAGAATGACAATTTTTAAAAAATTTAAACTTACCCCATTTAATGGATATGTTTTCCATCCTAGCTCTCCCAGCACAGTTGTTGTATCAAGCAATACAACTGGAATTAAATAAGAAAACTTACATGAATTTCTCGATTGATACAAAAATTTGTTATTTAGATCATTACAATTAACTATCTTTACTATTTACCAATTTCATTATCTTTAATAAGGTACATTACTTCTAGCATTATTTAGCCTAAATATACTTATACACATATTAAATATTAATATGTAATGTTTAATGATATTAAGTAATGACAATAAAATATATAAAGTAGTTACAAGCTAATTTTTTATTGTGTAGAATTGTGTTTAACAATGCAAAATAAGATGAAAACTTAAAAAATATAGAATTAACAGTAGCATATTTTGATTAATATAAAAGCCAACTTTATTTTTTTCATTTTGTATATAGTCTATTTCTAATATCATGTTGAAGAAATAAAAATATATTAAAGCAGATTTTCCCCCTTTTAAATACCTTTATGTTATGAGAAAAATGTATTTGAATAAATTTAATGTCTGCTAAAACACGATTAATACTCTACATAATACATAGTAAAGTTACTACTAAAGGATGCAAGTAAATAAATTAGTAAAAACTAAGTATCTTTTACCTGGGCTCAAATTAGCTAATAATCAAGTCAAAAGTTAAAAAAAGAAGATACATAATGAGATCACAAGTTGTTGAATTCTAAAATAATATCCTAGCAATTAGCTTAGGTTAACATTGAGAGGAGAGATCTTTGCAGACTTCATAAAATATATCCAATTTGAGCTGGGCTCATGAATGTATGTATCTTCAACCAGCTATGGTGAAAATTTTATTTTTTAATGTCAGAAGAAATACTATCAAGTAACTGAGATATTACTAAATTGGATCTTAGTGGGTCGGGTGTAAACTAGGGCTGAGGATTGTGTTTGAAAGAGTGGGATAGAAATAAAAGTCAGAAGGGTACATTGTAATCAGTGGGGGAAGGTTCCAGTAGTGTTTCTAGCTTAAACTAAGGGTGGACTTCAAAAGATTTATGGAAAAATTCCATTATTTTTCATTACCATCATTCAAGAATTTTTAGAGTTCCCTAGTATATATATTTCCATCCCAGAATTGAACAGTTCCTTATATTTTAAACAATATCCCCAAGTGCCCAAGAATCAACAGACTAGAGACTACTAAGAGAAACAATGTCTTGGCACATCATTATGAATTTTAGTTCTTCATATGTTTTAAGAAATTTTCGTATGTTTATTATTTATTGCTTTTCTGTTTGTTGTTGAAAAAGGAATTATCTTAGGAAAGAGGTTTTTGGGATTTTCTCTTCATCATTTACTTTCAATCTATTTGAATCATTATGATACATTTGATTTCTACACTCTTAAATGTCAAGCTATTAAATGTCTTAAAAGTCTTGGGAAAACTCTACTTACTCATTGTAAAATAGTCTTTCTAAAACTGTTGAAATGTAATCACTAACATCCCCACCTCCCCTCAAACAAAAATAGTTGCTATCGAGTTGATTCCCACATATGACTATAATTCATCAATTTTATATATATAGACATTTAAAAAATCAAACATAAAAGTCAAGAAAATGGTATAATGCATCCTTATGTACTCATACCCCAGCTTCAATAGTTATCAAGTCATGACCAATCTAGTTTCACCTATCCATATATAAATATTTGCTCAGTACATGATTATTTGAAGTAAATTAATCTTATCATCTCAAGGATAAACAATATCAACTTGTAATTCTTAGATAGGGATCTTTAAAAAATATGATAGTAATTTTAATTCAGTAATACACACTTAATATCATCAAATATCCAGTTAGTGTCTAATATGTCTTGTTTTAATTTCGTTTAACACGCAATCAAGATAGATGTGTTCTATGAATTATACTGAGTTTACATTTCTATTTTAATATATAAACTCTCCTAGGTTTTTTGCATTTATTGAGGTATGAATTACTATAATAACATTTATCATTTCAAGTGTATATTGCTGTCATTTTTAAAAACCTTTTTATAACTACCAAGTGAATCACATTGCAGAATGCTTCCAGTACCTCACAAAGGTATGTCATGGCCCTTTGCAACCAAAACCCTCACTTATATATTGCCTTTGGAAAATACTAGTCTAATGTATTTCCTTATAATTTTACCTTTTCTGAAACCAGAAAAAACAAATAGCATGTAATTTTTGAATGTGACTTTCTTTTCTTGGCATAATGTATTTGGTATTCATCATGCTATTATGTGAACACATGGTTCCTTTTAAATTGATGAAAATCCCATATTCCATTGCATTTAAATGTACTAGCTGGTGGACATCTTACCTATTCTCATTTGGTTAGGTTACAAATAAAACCACTATAAATTTCAATACACATATTTTATGTGGATCTATGTTTTCAATTTCCTTATTTATTTTTTTTTCAAGCCTACTAAATCCAAAAGCCCATTGCCATCTAAATCAATTTGTATCATATCTGAAAACAAAAGTTCGTAATGTCTACTAGACTTACATCCTAATTATTTATAAATGAACTTTCAGAGGATTCTGCTGATCACAGTTTGGATAATTTGCTCAGATACACAGCTATACTCACTGTACAATATAATGACAAGGGTCAGAGAGAGGAAAAGTACTGCACTGGAGTTCCATTCCATGCATGCGTGAATTTATGCTCAACAAGTTGTGTTTAAACATGTCGCAGCGATCAGTGGATAGTCATGGATATGTTCTCTCAGTAATTTACTTGCCTTAAAACGAAACAGATCCAGTGCCACTGAGTCAATTCTGATGTCTAGCAGTGCTGGAGGGCAGGACAGGCGTCCTGGTGACAGAGTGCTTACACGTTGGACTGCAGTCCTCAGGGGTCGCTATGACTTAGCATTGACTCAGTAGCAGCGAAGGGGCGGGGTTGTTTTGGTACAGGAGAGATGGAATCACCCCTCTTGGTTTCTGTGGCTGTAAATCAGCAAATCAGCGGTTCTTAACTTGAGGGCCGCGACCCCTTTGGGGGGGTCCAAAGACTCTTTCACATGGGTCGCCTAAGACCATATTTCTGATGTTCTGAGACGCTGCTCCTCTATCCCTCTCCAGGCGGGTCCCCCACATGCAGATACGCCCACAGAGGGGGAACTGTTTGAAAGGGTCACGGCTTTAGGAAGGTTGAGAGCCACGGCTGTAAATCTTTAAAGGAATAGAAAGTCTCATATTTCCCCTGAAGAAAGGCTGGTGGATTTGAACTGCTGCCTTGCAGATGGCAGAGCAACCAGTAACTCACTACTCCACAAGAGCTCCTGTGTCTCCTTAGGGTATTTTAAAAAATAAGTTAAAAAAAACCAAGTAGCTTCTGAGGGCTCTGTTGGATGCATTCAATTTAAGGTAGGCAGGTCAACTCAGAAGTTCATGGTAATTGTTGTTAGGTGCCATTGAGCCAGTTCTGACCCCAAGAGACCCTGTCCGCAGCAGACGGAAACACTCCTGTCAGCGCCATCCTCACCATTGTGTCTGTGTCTGAGACTACTGTTGCGGACACTGTGCCAACCCACCTCCTTGAGGGCTTCCTCTATTTCCACTGTCCCTCCCCATTACCAATACGATGTCCTTCTCTGAGGACCAGTCCCTCCTGACAATATGTCCAAAGTAGCACTCTGGCCATCACAGTCCACCTGAAGGATGCAGTCCTTGATCTTCATCAGCAAGCCCTTCAAGTCAAAGCTCCTCGCTTTCAGTAAGCAAGGGTATATCATCTGCACATATCGCATGTTGTTAACCAGTCTTCCTCTAATCATAGTACTATATTCTTCTTCATATAACCCAGCGTCTCTGATTATTTGTTTAGTTGATAGATTAAGTGACTGGTGAGAGGGTACACCCCTGATGTACACCTTTCTTGATTCTAAACCATGCAGTGTTCCTTTGTTCAGCTTGCATAACTGCCTCTTGATCCATGTACACGTTCCACGTAAGCCAATAAAGTGCTCTGGAATCCCATTTTTCATAGTTTATCCATAGTTTATTATGATCCCCATAGAGTGAGTGTTTGTTGATTCAAAAGGAATCCTCTTGACAGGTTTTAACAAAGGATTTAGGATGGGCACTGTGATAGGTAGGTTTATAGTGCCAACCTGGTCAATGAACACATGTGGGATTAATTGAAGGGTGGAGAGATAAATGGCTAGGTGGGCCTCGTCTTTCTTGTCTCTTGCTCTTTGATCATCAGACCATTGTGCAGCTGCCTTGCTTGTTCTGTATCTCAATTTGCAAGCTACACTATCTGTGGGACACCTCACCCATGGACTGTGTCGCTGTAATTTGAGGTTCCTTCAAGACCTGCTTCGCCACACCATTGGAATTTACATCTCTTGAGCTGGGGACTGTCAGGCCCTGTCATCTGGCTGACTGCTAGTGACCTGCCTTGCTGTTTGCTGCCTGTGTCCGGATAGCCTGAATTGCTCTACAGAGGACTACCCGGGGGCCCTCAAACTTGAAGGACTGCCAGTGTCTCACAGCTGTCTCATGGAGTGAGTTGCACTGAGCCATTTTTACTGCTCTATAGATTAATTAACTGTTTATTTCTTATGTTATCTATCTATCTATCATCTATCTATCTAAATGTATGTAAGATATGAAGTGTCCTGGATTTGTTTCCCTAGAGAACCCTGTCTAACATAGGCACATTAAAAGGTTTTAAGAAAATTGAAAACTGCATTGAAGAGCAAAAGGCCACAAAAATTGTTCCAAGGAATTTTTTCCCATCCTGCTCTTTCTTCAAAGGTGACAGGGACTGTCCTAGGAGAATACCATTGGGAAACTTTACCCATTCACTATCCATCTGTTATCTGGCCCCTCCACACTTATTTTTGTTCCCCCTCCTGAAAGAACATTAAAAAATAACACCCTTCGAGGCCCTAAAGGATGCTGAAACTGTCACTCTGGCATAGTATGTATCGAATAGTGCAGAATTGTCATGGGAAGTTTAGAGACGGAAACACCCATTCAAAAGTGCAGGGCTTAGGTAAAATATGTTGAGAAACAGCAGGT